ATCAGCATCCACACGCATTTTCGACAGGAAATGCATTTCTCTAGTCTTCTTACTGAACATTGTCCCCCGTTGACCCCCACTGTCTTCTTCTCTACCACTACGCACCTCACCTTATCTCATCTCTCCTCCCGGGACTAATGCAATACACTTCTATTACCTGTAATACTGAAGTTATCTGTTAATTTGCACATACTCTACACACAGAATACTGCTGTGTATTCATTTGCACACTGTGCATATGCAGATACTGTATATTTATCTTTATCTTTGCACTATTTACATCCATTGAACTGTTCACTCATGTAACTTATTATCTTCTTATTTTGCATTGTTTCATTCCATTTCATCCCATTGCACTAGTGTTCTATAAAGTTATTGTACCTTATCCATTACTTGTCATTTAAGTCCATAGTCTGTTGTATATTCTACATTACCCTACATAATTTAGTGTAAATATCAATTGTACATATCTATCAGTAAATTAGTACATACTGCAGATACTGCACACTCTGCACTGCTGTTATTGCACTTCTGGTTAGATGCTAAACTGTATTTCGTTGCCTTGTACTTGTAATGACAATAAAGATTAATCTAATCTAATCTAATCTAATAATAGAACACATACTGTAGCTTTTCTTGTGCATTATAGTATACTACAGGGCCATTTTCTTTTTAATGGAAAACATAAATATGTTGTTGTTGCCATATAATCTAACATACTGTATGTGTTTGAGAAGAATGGAGCATACCACACACCTGACATCCAATGTAATGGGCAGGACACATGCTGATGGAATGTGGTTCACTTCCTGGGAGAATTCACTGCTCTTGTTTCTGATTGGAGGAAAAAAAAAACAACTCAATGGCATGAGAATCTTTTAGTCCAAAATGAACAAAGAGCCATGTACCGTAGATTTTTTAATGTTACTGCTAAACAGGGTTTATCTTTCTTGTTTGTTTGTTTACTCAACCCTCCATGCTCTGTGCTGATTGCACCTACAGTTCCTTGCAGCACTATGCCAACTCCTCTCTATGGATTTAAAAGCTTTTTAATGCATATCAAAATATTTATGAATCTAAATGCAGCCAGTTTGCCTCTGCAGCTGAATGCCAGGGGTGAATGCTGCAGAAACCAACCTATAGAGTCATATCTGCAGATTCAAGCATAAAAGTCCATTTGGACAGTGTGAGAGACCATTGAGTCACTATTGGGAGGACAGCTAATGGCACTAAAAGGACATGTTTTTGTGCTGAGATGGATTAGGTTATCTCACCAGCACATACTGTGCCACCTATTCTGGAAACACGAGCAGGACTGTATAATCTTAAAGGACAAATAATTTTTGCATATACATGTGCACAACGTGTGTATGTCTGTGCAGCCATGCATGGATTTGTGTATTTGTACATTTTTGTATTTGAGAGTGTAAGCAGCATCACAGCCTTCTATCTGGTACTTCTTTTTCAGCTCGGCCACCAGGCACATTGCTGAAGGTCTGTTTCATATTGTGAATTAATTATTCTCCTCTGGAATTGTTAGAGAGAGTTAGAGAGAGAGAGAGTATGTGTGTTTGTGCTTGTGTGTATTTTAGTGTCTGTTTGTGTGTGTTTTGTTATTGCAAAGGAAATGACAGAGCAGAGTATTATTTCCCATCTACCACATCCAGACTTCATGTCTGAGGCGGAGCATTAGTTCCATGCTGTCCCTGGTAGGCTAGTGGTTAAGGCGCAGCGCTGTCGCTGCTGTGCCCTAGGTTCGAATCAGGGTTGTGTCAGGAAGGGCATAAAACACGTGCCAAATGTCAACATGTTAGTCGTCAGTGTGACGATTCACTGTGGCGACCCCTAAATGGGAAAAGCCGAAAGTGACTTTTTTATTATTAGCTCCATGGCAATTGCAAATGCATCTCTAATGCAAATCACATTCCTTTGAATCTGAAAGATGGAGAGAGAGAAAAGGGAGGATGAGGAGGAGGATCTGGGGTGAGGGTGCAAGGTGGCCACTCCTCACTCTTTGTGGCTCTGTGTTTGTTAAAAAAAAATTAAATGCAGCTATGCTCACTGGAAAACCTCTGCTCACTGAATTTTAAAATACCTTTGGCACCATTGTTTTTTTTTTCTTCTTACAAGCTGCAAGCAGTCACGCAGCTGTTTCCATGGCAACATCTATCTGTGTGAGGAATTCATTAACCCTTTCTCATAGGAGTTCCGTTTAGAAATCCCACATAGAATACAGATAGGAAAACAGGAAGGGATGCTACAGTGCTATTTTTGACAAAATGCTACTATTTATGAAATAATACATATTTCTGGTGTATATTGGTGCATCTATGATTGTTTTGGTGTTGACATTGTTTTTGCATTATAAAGACAACAAGTTTGCTGCATCAGATTTTGACATTTGTATATACGGAAAACAGAAATTTTGAATGCATTACATGACTTTGCCAGAGGAAAAACAAAACAGCCAAATGAAGCCTGTGCCTTTCAGCTTTAAGCTGTCTTCACAGGGACAATATTAAGGAGAGTGGCATAAATAAATCTGCAATAAATCTAACTGAAAGATAGTGTAATATTAAAGATACTCTGAATATAATAGCAAAGAGGAATTTAAGACATTTACACAAAGACAGGATACGTACACATGCAAAGACAAACAAGCACACTTACAGTACATACACTCACTCTTGAGAGGGAGAGAACAGTAATGCTGTTGCCGACTAAAGACTTTAGTGGATGTCATGCACATCACAGACGTGCTGTTTCGATATTGATATAATAAACCATTGTGAAGATTAACCTCATGCCAGACCTTTATAAACGCTTAATTATTCATTTGGATAGTATCAATAAAAGGGCACCAGAGTCCAATTAAATATGCACCACCCCAAATGTTCTGTAAATGAAATGCACTGGGAGTTGCATAGGTGAGGTAAGGGATGGAATTGCAGATTTGTATTAGTGTTTGTCCTCCATCAATAGCTATTTAGCATCAAGTGTTGCCCTTCACCCATGCTAATTTTGGAGCCAGTGTGCCATATGACCGTTTGAGATGTGCACTCCTCTGGTGTAGAGGACAGATGAATGTTTCAGGTCAGGTAGCTATATGCTGCCTGCAGGTTGGTGAGCCTTTGGTTTTCTCACTTAGGTAGACTGTGTTAAGCTGCTGGCTGCCTGTGGACTCCATTAGGTTTAACTGCACAAAAATACAGAGGGTGGTGTGGCACATTGAAGCTTTTTTTAGTCGAATTAGTATTATTTGAACCCCAAGTGCATAAGCGTCTTGTCTCATCATTACTGACCTGCTTTCAAGACCCATGACCATCTTCTTCATGGCCAATCAGTGAATGTTCATTAGATTTCTTGGAACATTTGGACATTGTTTTGAGCAATCTGAAAATAGAGCATGATACCATCTACTAAATACTGAAGCTGAACATTTTTATTTATTTTTATTTTTAACATTTTTTTCATTTTTATCAAAAATCATAAACATGCTGTCCATCTACTGTAGTATATACAATATACTAGCTCATACAACATACTGTAGTTACCAGTTGTAGCTCTGTTTACATAATTGTTCTTTTTTTCCTGAAGAAATCTGAGGTGGACGAAGTGGAAGCATTAGCATATGTTTGCCTGGAACACTGTGGTGCAGTTCAGCCTCAACAAGCAACATACTACACTTTGATTGGGCTTTCTCTAGTAGCATAGCAACAATTGCCTGGTAGCCTGCTTCGAGGTAGTACTTCAGAGCCGTGAGCCATGAGTTTTCAAAGCCTCCAATCTGGTCAATGAGTGGAGTAATGTACATTGTAGCTGAACCTTCATTTTCTCAAATCTCGTGAGGCGCACTGTTATACAGTGGGGAAGTGAGCTCTCACAATGTTGCTTTGACCTGCCAGTGTGTGATCACATTATAAGGCGAGCAGTGCATCACCATGCAGCAATATAGCCATTAAGTACATACCACATCTATATACAAATTAAATCTGATTCACCTGCCATCAAACTTCTTTTTACTCAAACTCACACAAAGTTTTGCATATATAACTTTATAAGGCATCATCATTCTGAATTAGGCCAGGAGTCAGGAGGTCAAGCAGACTCCTAGTCTTAGAGAATAGCATGTGTGTAGTCAGGAGCATCGACAAAACTGAAAACAACTGTGGATCTTAAAATACTGCCGGCAGATTATGCAGGTCATTTTGGTCAAATTTTGGTTTTCTCTTTGGCATTTAGTCATTTGTTCTTTGTTTGCTGAAACCTACTTTGAAGAAAAGACTGGTACCTATTCATTTCAGCTCTGAGCCTGAAGAGGTGTAGTAGTTTCTCTGCTTCAGCTTGACATGGAAGCAGCATGCCAGGCTCCCAGATGTTGTCCTGGTGAGGTCACATCTCTACTCAGTTTATGTTAGGCAGATCTGGATATGTAACACAATGCATGAATGACAAGATTGTCCTCTTGTAAAATACGACAGTATACATTGTTTGTGCCAGTAGGTTATTACAACAAATTGTTACCTGTTATAGTTTGGCGACATCTAGCAACTTTTCATTATGACACAAGGAAAGAAGTAAGCAACGTGATATATAAAAGCACAAAGGAGGAGGTTGGGGTGGATGGCTAGGTTCACAAAACACAGACATTAACCATGTGATATTATTTTAATCAGAAGAGCCTATGAGAGGGAAATTGTCCAGTGGTTTACTTTGGCTTAGTTGTAAATAAAAAAGAAAAAAGTTCTAATTTCCTTGCAAGTGTGTGTGTGTGCGCGCGCGCGCGCAGCGTAGGATATAATAGTTACAGTGCTTCTGTCAAAGCCTTTTTTGTCAGCATTGCTAATGAGTTGTGATAAGACACACTGAACTAAAACGTTTGTGTTTTTGAGTTAGCAGTTTTTTTTGTTAGTGGTGGATTTGCCATCAAAATGTACCCATGCCAGTTCTGTGCTAGTGAATGTACCAATGTATGGGCATATTCATCCAGATTCATATGGATGTACCAGATTTCAACCAGAACTTCCACCAGAGAGACTGATTATACTATGGAACAAAAGTGCCAAAGATTGGAGGAGATCTATAGACAGGAAGGTGCAGATGGGGTTGAAAGAGCAGAGGTCCATCATCTCATGGAGACTACATTCTGTCTACTGCGTCGCCATATAAATGCGATTCCGGCTCCTTCCATTGGAGGCATAAGAAGCAAATGGCCTTATCTCTTCAATCAGAGATACATGTATGCTCATTTTGAGCTTCTCACAGATCTTAATGTGCTGCGTCTCCTGGAGCTTGCCATGGAGGAATCTGGGAAAGTGATCACAGAATATTTCCGCAACAAACCTACCAACAAAGATGTCCAGACTGTCCTCTCCCAGGGGGAGGACACTGAGGTGGCACTTCATGTGGTCCAGTTGCTGATGGCCCACTTCACAGAGACCACAGATGGGCTCATCCTTCTTGCAGATGTAAGTTTGTTTCTCTTTCTTTCGTAATTTTTATTGCCTTGTATTGTTGCCATCTTAAATTCAGATCATGAACATTATCACTACAATTCTACTGTCTTTTCCCTATAGTTGTCTGCCACAGTGGCTGATGTTGAGAGGACCCTCACGCTACCACCAACTCCTTGTCTAATACTGCTCAGTATGTATTCATTGAAATGACATTGTTTATGTTATATCAGATGAGCTTTCACATTTATTTATATCCCAGCAAAGCATGCACATGCTTCCATGTAAAGAAGTTAAGATGCTCTCTGAAATTACTATTTCATGTTTCAGGTGGAACAGAGCATGTGACTGCAGGACGCTGGATGATCTGCCTTGAGGGTGAGGTCCTATGTGAGGGCATCCAACCAACATTTGTGACGGGGCTTGCTGCTCTGTTTTCAGTGTACTACATATTTAATCTGCAGTAACCAAGAAGAGGTTGCCTGTACCCTAAAATTTATTCAAAGGTAAGGTTTGTGTTGTCCAACAGACCTGTTTCACAGCAGTCATTTTGACATGAAATTGTAGGGTAAACACAGGTGTTATTGATGATATTAAACTTCAGTCCCATTAATGTCTAATCGAGCCAGGGTCCTGGTATAGTAATACTAACTCACTGAAAATATTGCAACACATAAATAGAACAGAACCACAACTAATGTCAGTAGTAATACCTGTGTTTACCTGCTATTTCATGTCAGAGCATGGCTGCTCTGAAAAAGGTCTGCTGTTCTCTTTACTTGTCTCTAGCTGCTTGGTCTTCATATCCAATTTACTTATGATTGTTTAAGTAAATATATAAGCACCAGTAGTCATCCCAACAATATCTTCACAACATTGATATTATGGTATTCCATTAAAAATATTTTGATCATATGTACGAGCCCTATGTCATATAATAGAAGACTTTTTGTCTTTTCAGCCTCTAATCTTGGACTAATATTTTTTTCAGGTGATTCATTGGAATCAACCCAGAAAGAGGGACTAAGGCCAGCCGTATATGTTTAGTTTTACCTTTAAAGGTCACTTTGTATAAAACAGTCAGCAGAACTGCACTTGATCAGATCTAATCTGAATGAACTCAGAGTAATCTCTTTCTGTTTTAAAATAACCATTTCAGTTCAACTAGGAGTTTAACCTAAGACTGTTGTCTTATTCTGAAGGGAGGATGTGTCTTGCCAGTGTCTTGAAATTTATTTATTTTACACCATTTAGATAATGAAAACAAAAACAAACAAAAAGAGGAAGAAAAGAGAAGAAAAAACAAAGGAAATCTTTTTTTTTCTCTTTCCTTTAAGATTAAGGATTGGACTTCCTCACGACCCTGTTTGGGACTAAGCAGTATAGGTGATGGATGGATTATTAAAGTTTTTTTTAACATTTCATTTAGATTAATTGATAGACATATTATATCGGCCATTCATCTTGAGTTTACAAATATTTACACAAGGTAACATGCATTCCCATGTTGCTATGACTTGAAGTTTCAGGTGCAACAGGGCAAGTCACAATTAAAGGTTGGATGATCACCTTTGAGGGCCGTGTAATCTCTGAGGGCATCACACCAACATTTGCAACGGGACTTGCTGCTGTCTTTGCTATCTACTACATATTCAACCTTCAGTATCAAGATGAGGCAGCCTGCACTCTGGAATTCATTCAGAGGTAAAACCCCATCATTCCTTGTCATCATTATATGGATATATACAATTAAATTAATGTGTTTGTATTTCTTTGCATAAAATGGTATTAGTACTGTACATTTCAAGCCACAACACACACACACAGACTGGGTATTTTGTTGGACTATAGGCTTTATAATTCCTTTTGATGTCACTT